ATCAGCAAGGAATCTTTTGCGTTGCACAGAGACTTTGTGATGAATTTGCAGTGAAAGAAGTGTTTTAGGATCAAATCGTGTTTTAACAACATATTCGCCTGATTGAGAGCGTAGCATCTGATTTAGAGCGAGATTGCGCGATACGCTGTAGCCGGACTACCACTGAGAGGTGGAGCTTGCTGTGTAGCTTGAATTGAAGGGCCAGCCCGTAGCTTCAAGCCGCTACCCTGGTCATCCTGTGGNGGCTTGAAGCTACGGGCTAGCCCTTCAATTCAAGCTACACAGCAAGCTCCACCTCTCAGTGGTAGTCCGGCTACAGCGTATCGCGCAATCTCGCTCTCAATCAGATACTTCGCTCTCAATCAGGCGAATATGTTGTTTTTTGCCGCGGAGTGGAAGAGAGAGGATACGTACGGTTTGAACAAGAGATGGAGAGAGTCAAGTGGAGATGGTAGTGTTTTGGAGAGTTAGTGTTTGGGACTTTTCTTGGTGATTTGGAAGAGTTGGTATGCGATTGATTATTTTCGGACGTATTGTTTTGGTGTTGGGATTTTGAATTTTGTCTTGGTTTTGACTGTGTTTTGGGATGAACTGGTATGAGAAGGATGACTTTGATATTTTGCCGGAGCATGACGATGCATTGGAGCAGGGGGGCTATTCGATATACTCGTAGCATAGCATGCGGGTGGTATATTGCGTATACACATGCGGGTATTGCAGTGACGAACTACGGAGGAACAAGAAGTTTCTTTATGTTTTCCTTGGGAGTGTGGTAGATTGGTGGAGATTCTTGAGGATTCATTTTGGGTGTTTGAGCGTTATGCGTGACTTGATGCCGTGATGGAATGACGAGNGATTCGTTTTGGGTGTTTGAGCGTTATGCGTGACTTGATGCCGTGATGGAATGACGAGCTCAAGCACGCCCCCGATTAATACAACACGTTTACAACACGTTTCCCAACAAGTTTTTGCCCATCCACGCCCCGTCATGGGCCACCCGCTCTGAAAGGTAAACTACGCGGGGTGCAGCAAGCCCGTGTTGGGCGTCTGTTGGGGCAGTGGGTAGTCGGCCGTGTTAGGCCGAGAGAGAGAGGTAGAGATTGAGATTGCGTTGGCGTTGGAGAAAGCGTTGGAGAAGGAAACTTGATTGGAGAGAGACGGCGGTAGCGGTGGAGAGAGCGAAAGCAGTGCGCTAGATGCGCGAGCCTTCAACACCGCAACCAAGGCCAAAAGGGTCCCCGTATCTGCATCGGTGGTACCCATCAACATACGAAATTCTCAACACGTATCCCCGAGGATCCTCACGTCTAGAGACTGCTGCGAGTATATCTAACATTCCCCCTGCTCGCAACAGTATCTCCACTGCGAATTTCGAAATAAAACCGGATATCTCAACCAAAAGACGTCTTTTCCTGAATATATGCGATCAAGATTACTTCCAAAATATATGACACGAAAACCAAGTCCAAGAAACATGAATACTGCTGCATCGCGCGTGAAAATAACTTAGCGCGGAAAGCAAAACAATCAAATCGAAAGCCAAACCAAACTCATCAGAAAAATAATAAAAACTCATGCCAAATTCATCACAAAATCACGGTGAGACTCGAACGCATCCTTGGGCAAACGTTTCGTAAGAAAATCTGCACGCTGGTACGGAGACGGCACGTGAATCACCGAAATCTCCTTCCTCTCTACCAGTTCCCTGAGAAAATGGTGCCTTACATCAATGTGCTTCGAGTTCGAGTTTGAGATGGGGTTCTGCGCTAGTTGAATCGCCCCCTGGTTGTCCTCGAAGACGGGGATGCACGGCATGCCGACCTGCGGCAACATNATCGCCCCCTGGTTGTCCTCAAAGACTGGGATGCACGGCATGCTGACCTTCGGCAACATAAATCGCCAAACCTGCCTCAAAAACAAAATCTCCTTCACTACATCGCCAAGCGCGACATACCCTGCTTCTGTTGTCGAAAGCGTAACGCATTTCTGCGTTCTGGAAAACCAAGACACAACGCCTCCTCCGCATGTTACTATCCCCCCTGATACCGACCTACGGTCTGCTGCCTTGCTCGCAAAGTCCGCATCAGCGTATCCCTGCAAGCTGAATCCTTCTACCGTACCTCTCTGAAATGAAATACCCATGTAACTCGTCCTCTTCGCATACCCTAATATACCCATCGCTGCATCCCAGTGCACCCGCTTCGGAGACGCGCAATATCTAGCTACTGCCCTTACTGCATTCGCAATGTCTGGCCTAGTCTGAGTCGCCAGCCACATCAAAGATCCTACTAGCTCACGAAACGGAAAATCTGTCGCCTCTTCATCCGCATCAAAGTCAGAAAGCTTGACCCCCGAAGACATGGGAACGCTCGTACCCACTGCTACTCCATACTCTGCTGCTAGCTCATCCGTGAAAGTCTGCAGAGAAATCGTCAGCCTACCAGTCTCCTTGCTTCTCTCGTAAAAGCACCCAGAATACCATCTCAACTCTCCCAGGTCCTTCACCGGCACGGACTTGTTAAGGTCGGCGCCAAACTTGTCACTTC